AGTGGACTTATATATATATATATATAACGAGCCTTCAGTAATGTTTGATAATTAATCTCATTGGGCTCTGCCAATCTTTTCCCATCCATATAAACCTCATTATTTTATATAATTATATGTATACGTGTACATAGATATGGTATCATATTTTTTTAGTAGTTTGATAAAAACCATTTAGTAAATTTTACTATTCTACAAAGATTTCTCTTAAGAAAAATTGTAGTTGTTTACATTTTGATCGTAGCTTCTCTTATAAACTACCATGATTTATTCATTCGTAAACTTAAATATCATTTAATTTAAATCTTAATTTATAAAAAATTATACGGGTCTTAATAAATTTATTATATTTTTTATCAAAATATATATAAGTCTTTACATTTGATAGTAATTTTTCTTATAAACTATCATGATTTATTTATAAACTTAAATATTATTAACTTTAAATATTAATTTATAAAAAATTATACGGGTCTTGTTATATTTATATATATTTTTTATCGAAATAAATATTTTGACCGAAATATATATGGATCTTTACATTTGATTAGGAGAATTTCTTATAAATTATCATGATTTATTCATAAATTTAGATTTATATTTTTTTACCAAAATACATATGGGTATTTTACATGTAATAGAAATTTCTTTTACAAACTATCATGATTTATTCGTAAACTTAGATATAATTTAAATTGAATTCTGATTTATAAAGAATTTTATATAAATTTTAACGAACTTATTATTATTATTTTTTTATTAAAATAAATATTTTGTAGTGATTAAATATTTAAAATAACCATAATAATAAAACTCAGAGTAGTTATATATGATGCTTTCACCATGAGGCATACAAAGTATAAGATAAGATATGACATCATGGTGAAGCTGCTTTTGCTTTCTCTTTTCTTTTGTTTTTTGTTTTTTTAACCTTTTTAAGCCACTCATGTTCAATTATTAGTAGGGCCTTTTACAACTCAGTTTAGTTTGCAAAATAACCAGTCTGCCATACAGTTTGATGAATATGCTTTTTTTTTTTTTTTTTTTTTTTCTGTTCTTTGTTTTTAAACAATATATACATACACTTGATCTGTAAAATCTTTTCTTTATGTTTGGTTTGATGGAAAATGGAAGTAAAGGGAAAATTCATGTCTGTAAAGTACATATGCATATTTAATATATATGTATTTTGTGTCTAACTTAGTTTCACTTGGTTTTATCATTGGGCATAAATTTTTGGTTCAATCATGAAGGAAAATGGTGAAGGAAATTGATGATCATCATCATGACATGATTGAAAAAAAAAAAAGAAAACATGATCATGACCAGCTTCACATCCTCTGGTCAGTTCTTATCCACTCCAGCTTCCCAACTAGTAACTAATCCAGAAACAAACAAACAACACAAGACAGCACTGCAATAAAACCTAGAGTAATGAAGAATTATACATATTATATATATATATATATATCACTACAAGAAAATTTTAAAGAGAAAATCTTAAAACAATATAAAAAAAAGTCCATACTTGATGTTCATGAGAAGTAACATAGCATGGAAGAGAAATGTGAGAGGTCAACACTGTTTACATGAGAACAAACAAGAAAAAAATCAAGTAGAATGAACATACAAAATCACCCACAACAATAATTTACAGAATGATACTCTCACCGGCCATCTGCAGATGTGAATGACTCTGCAAATCCATACGGGCGAGTAGGAATGCTCGTTTGAGTATTGTCTAAGCTCGGAAGGAGTGACGAAGAAGAAGAAGACTCCATATTACTTCTACCCTCGTAAGCCTGCCATTTCTTGAGTGCTTGAGGCAATGACATTTCGAGATCAATTCCATATATGTCTTCGGAGTTCTGGTCACTTGGTTTCCAGAGCTCTACTAAAGATGATAGAACATTGACCGCGTGACCCATGTCAGGCCTTTGATATGGCTCTCTTGCACAGCAATGGCCTGCCAATTCGGCCACAGTACTGATACTCGTGAATGTTTCCTCGATAAGATCAAGCGTAGGATCAATGGCCTTGCGGAAACCGTC